CCCCCCCCCCCCACCCACTGCCACTCAGTAGGGCACCTCATCTGGAAGACATCATAAAATAATTTTTCCAACTAACCATCTCTTTTTGGATCAAAGAAGGCAGCCAGACCAGATCCAACAGCGAGTAAACCTTTCTGAAACCAAGTGGTAGGAATATGATGTGGATACAAGATTTCTTGTTCACTGTATTCCATATCTTCAAATTCATATTCTTCTAGCTGTAGTGGTATTTCTGAATGACATACAAATGTGAAGAATTGGTCATACCAGAATACATCCACACCCTCGCTGTGGAGAAAATTTGCACTATCTGGGGAATAGGAAGGGAGGAAATCTCTAATAATAGCAACATGTTCTAGGGAGCCAACAGATCACGACACTCTTGTATATAAAAAGAGCGTGTGAATTAAACAAGTCACATATTATTAGCACTGACATGAAGATCCGGGCTTACAGATCGAAAGCTTTGCAGTAATAAATTTACGTGGTGTTTCCACAAACAAAAACAATTATATTTTATCGCCATGCAAACATTCAAAGAACTTATATGTAACATTGTTTAACACTGTGTAACACTTGTAACAGTGTCAGTGGCGCCGTGGCCGGCCGGGGGGGGGGGCATGGCCCCCCTATTGTTGAGATCCGTTGGAAAATTGTCACTGTTGTCGGAAATTGTCAAAGTTGTCGATGGGGGGGGGGGGTGAAGAGTTAAAAAGTTGTCGTCCGGAAAATTTTTTGGTTTATCGGAAAATTTTTTTGGGTTTTTCAGAAAAGTACTGGCCTTGGCCCCCCCAAAAAAACATGGGTCCCATGGCACCACTGAACAGTGTTACAACTGAGTGCCATAATAAAGCCACTCTAAATCGTGCATGGTATATAGGCAATCTCCCCTCGATGAACATTTCGGAATGGTTGCATAACTTCCACAACGACCACATGGTTGGTGTCGAGTGGGAAAGTCTCTAGATTGTATGAAATGACATTTTCAAAGTTTTCTCTACCCCTTTTCGCAAGGCCCAACACGTAAGAGACAAAATAAATCTGTTTCATCAGTTCATTAAAAAAATGCTGATTTTGTAGGATTTTCTTGAAAATGCGCACACCGGCAGAAATTCAGCTAAAATTTCTGCACAGGAACGCGTTCCAAAAGACCAAACATTACAGTCTGGGAGGTGTGTCAAGACAGGTATGGGCCTATTCAGTCATGGCTATTCTTGGCTTTCACTACAGGGGGTCAACCTCAAATGTATTGATGCTTATGCTGTACTGGAGTGAAAAAATGATACGAAATCCCACGTATTTGCCACCAAACACAAGGCTAATAACAAACAATCGATTCACTCTGATATAAACTGTGTTTTGTTTTAGAGTTGACCCCACCTGACCCACTTACTCCACCCTTACCCTACAATTCACATGTAATATTCATAAATGATAAAATGCATTAAAATGTCAGTAATTTTTAATAATACGATAAAAGCAAACCTTGTGATTCTGTGGTCAGAAATCTTGGCACCCATCTTTTTGTACATTTTTTGCACAAATTAAACTGTATCAAACGCCGAGTAGTACAAGCCATTTGACGTCTGGACACAAAATTTTAAAAATAACAAATTTCAAACAGACTGACAGGACTGACAGTGAACACAATTAACATTTGAAAAATACTTTTCTACTAAAAAAGTACAAATATTGAATTATTTTTTCCAAAAAAATTCTCAGGTACGGTGCCACAATCTATAGCTCACTGCTTCATGTAAGCAAATTTTTATGTCTCAGGTTGAGGGATATCTATGGGGATAACAGGGGAATATTGTAATCTTTGGTAAATTAGAATGGATTACTACGGTTCGCGTAGTGTAGATTTGGATAGAAACATATCATTAATCCTACTAATTCCTCGTTACCCATTAATGTTTCTATTAGGATCCTTATTGTATCTCTGGAACCATCACTGCCCTTGCGCGACTACTGACCTCTATATGCAAACGGACCACTACACATAGTATATTTCGCATCATTTAATTTCCTTTCATTTTATATAAAACATTATTCAAAATATTCAATTGATGGATTTCAATAAAGCGTTACGTGGCTGCAGACGCTGATCAAAATAAAAACAAATTGACAATAAAATAAACTACATCTTTATCTATTGTATTTATACGCCTTAAAATAAAATAAAATGAAATATCACTTCATCAGCTTCGTGAAATTGAAAAGAACTGACAGTCTTTTCTCACCCTTATAACTGTAGGTTGACAACCATCTGCTGCACGATGGCGTTTCATGGCTGCAAAGGTTAAGCAGCCATGGAGCAAGACTACTCCCGTATTTTGTGGAGGGGGGCCGGTGGGGGGGGGGGGAGTAAGTCCAAATTCTAAAATGTATCCAAATGACGCGCTCTACGCTGGATCCAAATTGCAGTTGAACTATTATAACACGTAGCTGAGAATGGAAAAAATTAGGATATGCGTATCAAAGTATTGAACTGTTCAATCATTATGTAATATTTCAAATCCGTCTAAGAGGACTGGACTAGATTTCAAGTCCGCACAATTTGATCAAGTCCGAGGGAAGCAGAGGACTGGATCAAAATGCGAAGACTTGAAATCTAGTCCAGTCCGAATTGCCGGAGGATTTGAAATGACATCTCCTAAGAATAAATCACTATTTAATTCACTTTGATCCAGTCCAAGGACTGAATTAATTTTGATCCAGTCCTAGGACTAGATCAATGTACTTCATCATGTGAGCAAAATAAAGCAATAAATATTTGATATTTGTGTTTCACTTATAGCCACAATAGAATTGCACGTTAGTTCATTTTTGTACCAGCATATTTTGGCTGCTGTGTAAGGCAACATAAAGAAAAGCACACGAGTTTGTCGGTTAATAATTTCAGTAAATATAGAATAAAAGTTTTTCCGAATAAGGAGTGCATAATAACAACACACACTTTATAAAAATTGTATATTTCGAATCAAATCTGATTCAGTGTTTTGCAACGGATATGTCGTTATACTACAACCGTAAGCAATTAATATGGAGTGCATAATAATAACACAATTTATAAAAACTGTATATTTCGAATCAAATTAATCTTCAGCAGTGTTTTGCAAGATATGTCGTTTTATTATATAGTAGAGAGTGAGATACTGAAAAATACACAGTGAGATATTTTCCATATCTTCACTAGTGAAGATATCGATCACGTGACTTTTAGTATTTATACAATTTTTTGCTTGGGACTGTATAATAAACAGAACATTACACGGTGGCTTGAAGATATGACTTTTATCTTCTCGTGTTAAAAACAATATTTTACTCGCTACGCTCGTTCATAAAATATTGTTTTCACCACTCGAAGATAAAAAGTCATATCTTCGCGCCGCCGTGTAATATCCTCTATTTATTCGGAATAACTTTTATTCTATCTTTTCGGTTAACCGAGTCAAATCCGAATCCGAGTCAAATCTGAGCCCTAGTCAAATGTCCGAGTACTGTTTAGCGGTCTTTGTAGTTCAATGACTTAGTACCCTAACCCTACTCCTAACCCTATTCGATTGTGAATTTTATTCAATTTTGTCTTTTAATTGACTTGGTAAATGGATTTACTCAAAAGCACACCCAACTGGCAAGGAAATATACTTTCCAATTTACAGTGGACCAACCATGGAGAAACTGGTTGTTTTTTTAGCAACTTTTTGCATATTCAAGAGATGATTGAAGAGTTGCATACTTTAATATGCATACTCTAATTCTTCAGCTACATGTTATAGTTCAAAGTATCGAGTTCAAAAAATTGCTTCGGTGCCCCCAAGCAAATTCAGAAAGTGTCTATTTGCATCGATTCACACAATTTCCAAACTTCACATTTCTGCCTCCTTGTTAATGAGAACAAGATGCAAGAAATTATCGGGGTAACTAAAATGTTCACTCAGCCATTGTAATGGAGTTTCCAATGGTGGTTCAATGCCATGAATAACTATTCTTGTTGACTGAAAGTCTTCGTCATTTGAGAAAATCGTTGGTAATGTTTCCATCATAAGGTGTTTCAACGTTAAAGATTCTCCTGTAATAATAAAACATTAAGGAATAAGCTTCAAATAGACTTGTTTCAAGTCCGTCTTGCCAAGGAATTGAAAATAATGATGAACGCGAGTGGTGAAAAAAGGCGCGAAAGTATGAGACCAAGTCTATGGCCCGATCTGCAATTTTATGTTACTGATACTTTGGCGAAACCTTAGTCTATCAAGATATGACGGTATGCGAACTAAACAGGAGTCATTGTGTAATGTTTTTGTCGGAGTCAGTGTGTTATGTTTCTAACAGACCATCATATTTTGACAGACTAAGGTAAGAAAACGAAACGACAAGCTAAGAAAATGAATGTGGCGGAAATAACGCTTCCAATGATAATAATGGACAGGCTCATATTTTGACTTCCACTACCGTACCATTAACCAATCACATGCATTTATTCTACCCAATTAACCAATCAGATGCATTTTTCTACCCAATTAACCAATCAGATTCATTTATTCTACCCAATTAACCAATCAGATGCAGTTTTGAATGTAAAACTGAACTCTTACATTATTGGTTATTATAGATTTCCTATATGGTAAATTAGTAAAAATTATCATGTTTAATATTTACCAATAATGGTACTTTATTTTTTCCTGTGCACAGGAAAATACCATTACTGTTAAATTTCTCAAATTCATTAATAATTCATGAGCAATTCAGCCAATGATAATCACCTATTTGATCACAAGATGCCATTTGGATAACCCGGTGAAACTTGATGAAAGTCACTAGTGTTTTCATCAAATATTTTAATTACGCATGCAAAATTACTTGAATAGAATTCCTAATTACGTTATGCTTGGTTAAGAATTCTATTCAAATCAGAAAATGACATCATTTTGTTACGTCTCGATTCATTTGAGAAGCCATATAAACAACTCGAGCTCGTGTCTCACCGGGATATCCAAACACTCGAAAACAATGTATGAAAACACTCGCGCTTCGCGCTCGTGTTTTCATACATTGTTTTCTCGTGTTTGGATATCCCGGTGAAACACTTGCTCTCGTTGTTCATATATTACATCAAACATCATGGTTTTTAACAATTTACCATATGGGAAATCTACAATGACCAATAATGGTAAGAGTTGAGTTTTTATACATTGATAGTATACATGGTAGATCTTTAAAAAACATTCAAAAACCCATCAATGGAAATTTAAAATTTTTCCTGTGCAATCAGATGCATTTATTCTACCTGATTAGCCAATCAAATGCGCACTACGCCTCTATAATATATTAACTCATTATCTATGTTAGTCAACGTTTATTCATAAATCTGGTCCTTCACCGTCAGTGACGTGCGCCGTGTATTTTTGCCCAACTAACCAATAGCAATGTTTTAGGAAAGTTGCCTATCTGTGACTCGAACAATAGGGTAAATTGGAAATTGCTATTGGTGGATTTGGCAAAAATACAATATGTGACGGTGAAGGACCATATTTATGAATAAACGTCGAGTAGCTAACATAGATAATGAGTTAGAATTGTTATTCTAATGAGTTTCACAGCCATCTTCCCTTCGATTGGCTATGCTCTGTGAGAAGTAACGGTATTGAAATCTATCTAGTAGAAGTAACGGTAGTCAAGTCAAAGTCTAATCTTTTTTACTATTTCATAACCAACATAATGTCAACTAATATATATGTTTAAAAAATCATTCTCTGAATAACGGAGAATGATTTTTTTAACATATGAATTAGTTGACATTATGTTGGTTATGAAATAGTAAAAATGTCATGTTCTGTATGCTGCACATAACGTCTCGTTAAATGTCAGTTGTCAGGTACTCAGGCCCATGAATTGTACTTTACTTAAGCCTTAACACAAACCTGCTTCATTAACTGGCTTTGCAAGCTTCTGCATGAATAGTTTGTCACACTAAAGTAACACAAATATTTTGTTTACATATTGGTCAAATCCTTCCGTAAAATATATTTTGGTAATATTTAATCTTCATTGATATACCTGATGAATTCTGAACGGAATATGTTTGAACAATTCATCTCCAGATCTTTCCATAAGTCTTTTATTAACGGACCAGAACTGCTCAAATTTGTCTAAAATTTTGGTAAATCAATTACTTGGGTATTGGAAATGTAGATGATTTCAAACACTCATTAATAATTCATAAGCTTATTGGCAAATCATGTCAACCATAATTCTTTATATAAAGAATACTAATAAGGCAGTATCTATTGTAGTTGTGTCCTCATTAGTATCAGAGAGTTTGAGCAAGAGAACGAAGTTGGACGAGGACAATGTGGTTGACAATTTTTGCCTGTCTTGCACATTATCTTGCGCATTCTGAGTTTAGGGTCAGGAGTGAAGACAAATTAGAGATTCATGTCTAGCTGTTTGCTGAATGCTGACTCAAATCGTTACCCTGATCAGGATAAAACAGCGAGACATGAATCCATATCCCGTCTTCGTTCTTCTGCCTTCGTTCACAACGAATATTTTGGCAAAATTCGTTGTGAACTTCGTTCTGCACGAAGGCAGAAGGACAAAGACGGGATATAGTTTCATGTCTCGTTGTTCCTTTCTGGATCAGGGCAAAAATTATGGTCAGTATTACAGCGACACATGGGAAGACACGTTGAGCAACCACCAGTGACGTCCAACTCAGTATGCGCAAGATAATGTGCAGGCGGCAAAAATTGTCAAGTATGCCTTCGTCTTCGTACTTCGTTGTCTTGCTCAAACTCTCTATTCTTTATATAAAGACTACTAATAAGGCAGTACATCTATTGAATTTGTAGTCGTGTTTGAAGCTGTTTAATAAACTCGCAGGTCGTGTTTTATTAGGTCTAAAGCCACTTGCCCTGCACGCTCGTGGCTTTAAACCTAATAAAACACTCCTGCTCGTTTATTAAACAGTACTTAAAACATGCTCCCTGAGAATACATAAGTGGTGCACAGATAGTGCAATAATTATTGTGTTACCATTATTCAAACCAAGCCATAGTTGTTTATGGTCTTTCTTTTGCATGGAATTAATGATCTGTGATTTGTGTTTCAGAGAGTCAGCCTTAAAAAATAATGATTTCATTTCAATCATTCCATTCCATTCTATTCTATTCTACTCCATTCCATTCTGTTCTATTGCATCCATTCCCATCCTATTATACTCTATTTTATTCTATTGCATTCCATCCTATCATACTCCATTCCATTCCATTCTATTCTATTCTATCCATTCTATTCCATCCTATTCTATTCTACTTTAAATGCTATTGCATTCAACCTCATTCTATTCCATTCTATTCTGTTCTGCTCCGTTCCATTCCATTCTATTCTACTACATTGCATTCAATTTCACTCCATTCTATTGCATTCTATTCCATTCTATTCTACTGCCTTCCATTCCATTCTATTCTATTGCATTCCATGCTATTTTACTCCACTTCATTCTAAGATTCTATTATATATTCTATTCTACTCTATTATAATCTATTTTACTCAGCTCTATTCCATACAATCCAGTGTAATGTTTCATTGCAATGTTTTCTATTCCCTTCCATTCTAATGAAGACTATTACATTAAGTCATTTCCAGTTTTCCATTTAATCCTATTCTGGTCTAACCCTTTATATTCCAGTGACTTTTTTGTTCTGTGTGCATACCTCTTTCACAGCAGACATGAAATATGATTCTACAACCTCTTTGCTTTCGCATCGAATTACCTCATCTTCTGGAAAGTCCTGTTGGAAACATTGGCACATATAGTGTAATTATAATATTTTATTCAGAACAGAATTAAATCTGAGATTTTGAAGTCATATTATTTTACCTCAAAATGAACTGTAATATTCCATGGAAGTGACTTATTTGATCCATACAAGTCAAACAATACACCAATCGGATAATGCCTGTCGGATAATCAGATAATTATACAGAGCTGCCAAGTTCAGATGATTAAAAACCTGGAGGTTGTTGGGGGCCTTTAGTTTGTAGTTCATACCCCCCCCCCCCCTGACAGCGATATATGTGATAATAGTGATATCTATGTTATTTAATACATACTGATCATATAGCCAGACAGAGTAGCACAGACAATATTTCATACTGAAAAATTTTAATCAAATTATGTATAAATTGTTGACTTTATATTATTGTTGACCGGGCATGTTAGGGGAACCAGATTGCCATATATGCATGAGTACAATGTAATAAAAAAATGAGCCCACGGGTAAACCGTGAGACTTGGCAGCTCTTATTATATTATGTGAAATTGTAATAATTCACAATCGGATTGTCAGTGTCTAAAGGCCTGATGTAACTGGGCCCTAAAACATTGTGGATGTATATTGACTAACCCATTGAGTCACAGCACTCTCACTTTGGTGAGTAAAATAGTCCGGCATCAGACAGAATAAAATAATAAAGTGGGTGCATTGCCACTTAAATGGTTAATGCAGGGGCTGTGAATTAATGTTTAATTTTTTTAGGAGGCGCGTGTACAGTTTTTCAAGGGGATGCATAACATTTTTCAGGGGGGGGGGGCAGGCAGTGTGAAAATGCAATTTCTAGGAAGTGTAAACTGTCAAATTGTAGGATGCTGCAATTTTTTTGTTCCATAAATCATTAAAATTTGGGTAACAAATTCACATAGTGGTTGATGCTGACATTTTCTGTGGGGTGGTTTGAAGAGACATTAGAGGGGTCTGCGTGTATGCTTGAAATATTTCAGAGGGGGGGTAACCAGGCTACTCTATCCTTTTATGTTTGCCACATTGAAATGATATGTACTGCACATTGAATTAACTGGCTATAAAATTACCATTTAAGAGGCTGTCCATTAAAATCAAACCAAATACTACTGGTATTCATATCTGGCTTGATAGCACGTTGAAAATGTTTGGTGACTTTATCCGTGACCACAGGAAGATAACTCACTCTTGGCAGAAGTAACTGGCAATGGAAAATAAGTACCAACAATTATTCTGCTAGTTCAATCCTTATTTTTTCCTGGTGCTTTCACCATGGGTAACTTTGATACTTAGAAATCTTAGGATAAGCAACCAAGCAGGGGCGTAGCCAGCCCCAACAAGTGGGGGGGGGTCCAATCGTCCGTTCGTCTAGAGGCATGGTCCTCCAGAAAATTTTTCTAGTTTTAGGGTCTGTAAACACTATTTCATGCATTTTAATTAGACATGTTTTATCATAATCTGAAAGCCACAGATTTGGTACATTTCATGTAGTAGACAAGTTTTTCTTCAGTTTTAAAAGAATTACAAAACTCGTCTTGAAGAAAACTGGGGGGGGGCAGATCCCCAATTCCCCCCTTAGTGATTACTAACTTATTTGTTAGTTCAGTTCTGTAGTTTGACCAGACATTCAGTATGAAAGTCAGGTAGTGCAAGATTGCAGCCCTTGAAAACGATGTCGGCATTTGACTATGTAGGATACCATTTGAGAAATGGCAAGAGGTGCCGACATTGTTCAGATTTATTTAGGTTGGCATGATGCCATTTTTTTGCTAACCTCAATTTTGATTTTTTTCCACAGGCTGAACTATATAATATTTGATTAATTGTGTATTAAATGTTGACGAAAACTGGAACCTAATATTACTTTCTCAAGAAGTAAAGCGTAATTTGGAACTTGGCAACTTGCCTTTTTGGAAATGCCATACATGGTATAAACATGGAACTCGATCGGAGTATTCTGTGATTACTGATTTTGCAATAATGCCGGACCGCAAAAACTTTAAACTTACATAAAACGGTTCTGGCTCCTCCAACGCAACCACTTCGTCTGCATTTAATGTAAAACACACAGGGATTCGTCCATCCCATAATATTCTCAGTACTTCCCTATCATCAGCCATACATGTACCGAAATGTCAAATTTATACGTTCTGCACACTTCGCAAAATTTTGGAAAATTGTATATAAATGACAATTTTGGTCAATTCACATGCAACCTACAAGACTATCTCGACTAAAACACGACAGAGGTTAAGCTTCTGTTTTAAACTGTATAAATTCAAAAACTATTTTTGTAAAACAACATCATATTTTCTTCGAAATAAACAAAACACCCGAGTCGCACTTCCGAGTCACTTTCGAGGAAATTTCCATCGGGCATCGTATAAAAGAAATTTTCCAAAGAAAGAATTTGAGACAAAGAGAAAATAAACATTATCAGGTTGTAGAATTCAAACACAACATTCAGTAAATTTGAATGTGGCTTTTCAAAGGAATTTATTTGAAAAACCTCAAAAATTTGACTCAATCTATGAGGGAATTTTACCAAAGAATGCAAGGAATTCATATTTGAATCTATCGGCAAAATTGTCGTCGATTTGACGGCTGGCCGCAAAGGCTGGCAAATTTTAATTGTAGTGTTAATATTTGTCAAAATTTTATTTAAATAATGGCAAGTAGGGTTTCTACAAAGCTGCCAACTTACAAAATACACTGCTGCCCAAACAGAACGCATTTGGTGGAGAAATTTAGATTATATCCACACCAGACAAAGGCAAAGCAACGATACCTTCTGAACTTTGATGTCGCGACACAAATTGCCTCAAAATTGGACGTTGCCAACTCATTGGTGTATGAATGCAATCCTGGGGCAGGGGTGCTGACTCGTGCGCTTTTAAACCATGGTGCTAGAAGGATTGTGGGTCTTGAACACAATCGCAAGTTCTTGCCGTACTTACGGGAACTGGAACTCGAGTCGCATGGTAGATTCAAAGTCGAGTATGCGGACATCGGCAAACTTGATGTGGCCGGCCCAGGAACCCCACCAGCGATAAGCTCACACAAACTTTTAGAAGGCATCAACAAAGTTTCATGGAGTCATGAACATTTGGTCGCAAAGCTCATAGGTATAGAAAAGGAAAAAACGGCACACGCAAATTTCATGAATCTTCTTCATCACATGCTCAGATGTAGCGGGTTCTTCAGCCATGGTCGGATTGAAGTTGCATTATTGTTTACTGGCGATCGTGCACAAAAACTGTTGGCACAACCCGGAGATTCGATGTATAACAGACTTGCGATACTGACTTGGATGCTATGTGATGTTAGATTACTTCACATGGAATCAAACTTATCATTCAATCCATTGCCCTCTATGGGTTATTCAGATCCTCCACCGCAGATGCATTTAATAAGTCTGATTCCAAAACAAGATTTCAAGCTACGAGTGCCTCCGCATTGTATTTTGTTGGTACCAAAGTTCTTAAAATTGTTGACAGTGAAAAAAAGTCAACCGTTAGCTTGTGCCATAGAAAGTATTTCTCCCGGGTCAAGCATTCTTCTCAGAGAGCTTGGCTTACCAAGGAATGTAAAACCGATGGATTTAACTCCGTACCAATACAAATTATTGTTTGAGTTGTTTTTCAACTGGGAAGATAGCATGCTGGATTTTTTAATAGAATAAGATATAAAGTATTGCTGATTATTAAAAAATTAATCTATTTATGTATAATGAAATTACACTATCGACTTCCATTATTGGCTAGATTATTAACCCATTAATGCACAAGACTATACCCCCTTGACGAGTAAAATTGTATGGCATTAGACCAGTGAACTCAATCTATTTACGTGGAATGATAACATTCAGTCATTTGGCAAGCCTCGCGTGAGCAATGGCATCAGCCCTTCACGCCATTTCCACGCCATATAGTAGGTCAGTTTCAGTCCCCTTATACGCCATCACCCAGTGTGGAAAGTTTGTATCACACGGGGGAGAAATCCCCCGCGCACTTTTGATGCTTGCTTTCTGTATATTTACTATTAAATTTTCGAAATCTCCCCCGCACAATTTGCAAACTTTCCAGTCAGTGCCATCACCGCACGGTCTATCACAAATCAGCACACGTCAAGTGGTGTTGGCATTGGCTTCACATTTCTCCCGCATGTTATCATTCCAGATAATGACATGGAGTTCACTGCATTAGACAGAGAAATACCATTTTTTGTGCATTTTTCCCCAAATTTCCTTTAATTGAAAAACTTTTCATTGGGATTTTGGGAAGTAGTTTTCTTCCCAAGTGGAAACACTTCTAGGGTATACGGGAAAAGGCCACGAGACCGGGTTTTGTTTCCTCTGCGATATTTTCCGAAGTTATTCCGAAAGAAATCCGAGGACTGATCGAAATATTTTCGAAGTATGGAAAGTTGGAAACAAATTACCAGTATTCAACATGGCGGATTTTAAGGCGCCTTCTGGAAGCAGCGTTACAAGGTAAGAAAAGTGCTATTTAATTTTAAATAAAGCAGAAAGTTTGCGCTAGTTTAAAACTTTAAAGTATGATGTATTTCTCTGATTTTGCTAAAGAGTTGCAAGGCGAAATTATGGTGTAAATATTGGAACATTTTTCAAGTCGAAGTTCAGATCAGACACTGATCACTACATCAGCTTATTAAAAAAGACCCTTGACCCTTCTCTTCCTTACATTTTTCGGTCATTCAAAAGCTTCTAATTTATCACAGAGAGAGAGAGAGCTACATTATTGTGGATTTTTATAGATCCATCTAAACTTGAACAGATTTAAAATGTTGTCGTCCGGAAAAATTTTTGGTTTGTCGGAAAAATTTTTCGGTTTGTCAGAAAAGTACTGCTCTTGGCCCCCCAAAAAAACATGGGTCGCACGGCGCCCCTGGAGGATACAGGAAATTCTCGAAAAATAAGAAAAAATGGGAATCCAGCTTTTAGAATCTCTTGTGAAAATATGTTACCCCTTTATCATTACAGCAGCATCTACTTGGACCTCATAGTTGCTCAACTGTCAAACATGAAAATCGCTAATTATTTAACGCTATTTGTATTTATTTATTAGATCACAAGCTAGGAAGAGAAGAGTTGTTGCTGGCCAGGTATGAGAAAGTCAACAATATCTCACCAAGTCATTGTTGACAGGTTACGAATCTATAGTCTAATCCGAATTAACATCCTCAATTTTCCATCTTGCTATCTACAGATGTTTGCCAAAAATCGACCTCTATACTTAGTCTATACTTAATATAAATTTTATGTTGTTTGGACAGTTGGGATGCGAGCTACAATGTTTTGAAATCTTACATGTTCCTATACATTTGAGAGTTATAGCAAAAACTAAATTTTCAGAGTGCATTAACTTGTAACCCTGACTGTCCGAACTACATGAAATTTTCACGGGTCAATTTCTGCCAAATATGAAGATGACAAATCGATAACACTTGGATCGGAGAATGGTGTCATATGAATTGTTGTTTCAGGAAGAAGAAAATGATGCAGGTTTTCGTTTCACAAGACGAAGTAAAAGACTTCGAGATCAAGGACAAGTATGTACATATTCATCATACAGTGAAACAAATAGGGTTTGAATTAATGTTGTGCTGCATTGTGGAAACACCATGTAAATTTATTACTGCAAAGCTTTTGATCCGTAAGCCCGGATCTTCATCAGTGCTAATAACAAAGATTAGATACCAGAAAGATGCGCCACTCGACATATTTCCCTAATGTTTGCATGTCCATAATTTTCACTTACTGCCAAAATGGCGGCGAGACTGATGGATTTTACTATTTAGAGACTGGTGGCGTTGAATTTGACACTTACTGGCAAAATGGTGGCTATAAAAAAATCTCGGACATAATTTTCACAGAGTGGCGCATCTCTATAGTATCCAATCTTTGCTAATAATATGTGACTTCGCTGATTTAATTCACACACTCTTTTTATATACAAAAGTGTCGTGATCTGTTGGCTCTCGTCATTTGAAATTTAATTAAACAGCACATCAACCACATCATTTCAAACGTAGTGAAGTGATTCCAATTAACATGCGCGCATCCAAGACAAGAGAAATTAATTTTGCACATTAAAGAAAGCACGCCACATACTATCTAGTGGCTTTCCATAAAAAATAATTTGGAATGTTTTTTTCTATAACTAATGGTGTGAGAAAAAAATTTTCTAAACCTAAATTTTGCAGATATTGGTAAAAAAAAAGGGTTTTACCCATGTTTTAACAAGAAGTTGTGCGGGAAAAAAATTTTTGAACCTTATTAACTTAATTTAACTGATGTTAGTCCGGAAAAATGTTTTTGACCATTTTTTTTAACGTCCGGAAAAAATTTTACACCCCTCGCTCACTAACATTTTTGGGAAAAATAGGGCCCCGAAATAGAAATTTGCCTTGGGCCCTTGAATTTCTCTGATAGTCCCTGCAAATAACTATACCAAACATTGTGTTTGCAAGGTCAATTTACAAAATGTTATTATTTGGTGAATTATGTTTCTTTTTATTCAAATCCAAGGCACATAATTATGTAGTCTGACATGCATAGTCTCAACTGATCAATTTTAGACTAAGACATCCAATGTACCTAAAGAAATGTCCACAGACAACGAAAATGCCGTAAAAGAAGCAAAAAGAAGGAGATCAAGTTTCATACGAGGAAGGAAGATTCATTCGCCATTGGAAGTTTGTCAATCAGAAAGACTAGCAGCTGTTCAAGGTATCACATTTTCCAAATGCTAAATGTTGAGTAATTCCAGAAAAGATCCAT